TTTCACAACATCTGTGCTATATTGTCATTGATTATACTTAAGGTAGTCATGAATTTTACTCAAATTTAAGTCCAACAAACTCTGCGGCTTCAGTCCAAAATCCCAGGCATATCATTTTATCCAAATCCCCACATTTCCAGATGTTTTCATATCAAGGATGTTTGTAGACAGTCTTTTACTAGGACTTCCTCCTCCAATCACATTGCACATTCTGTTACCATTATTAGTCAGTCATGGTAAGACTAGGATGACCCAACTTGCAGGGATGAGCGAAATGATGGTAGGTAAATTGCCGCACAAATGAGAATGAGAGCTGGACAAAGCAGAGCATGTACACTTCCTGTTTTGCAAAGGTCGATGTGTCATCTAATTGCTTTAAGCCATACATGGTGTCTTGTAAATCAATTGAGGTGTATGCATATATCTCTGTGTGAAATCTACATTTATTTTATTTATATTTATGCAGTGCTTATATATCTTAAAACGAACCCACGGCCATCTTTTAAAATATGCAAAATCAGCTGATAAACAGATACAAAAATAAACACGTAGATGTAACATAGATATACAGTATCATAGATATACAGTACCATAGATATACAGTACCATAGATATACAGTACCATAGATATACAGTACCATAGAGCTGCTGTGCATCAGTGAGTCTGGCGGGTAATTTTGGATTACCGTTGTTTTTTTGTGGTAGGGGTTTATGGTTTATTTTAAAACATTTTGAAAACTTTTTTTGGGCAAATTTATTTTTACGTGAACTGTTAAACAGGTTTGAAAAACACGACTACAATGAATACAAATGGAATGTTAATTACAGCGTTCTCTGTATAAAGAAGAAACTTTAAATGCAAATATATATTTTTAAAGGCTAAAGAGTTTGTCTTTCCGTCGCTAATGAAATTCTAGGATACATAAGTCATTCTGCCGTAAACAGAAAACACACTGACATTGAATCTGTTATGGATGCTATGTATTTTTGTTCTTTCTATACCTCAACTGACTTCAGATTATGTTTTCAACATCCACAAGATTTGGGAGGTGTTGTTGTTATTTCATTTCCCGTGTATCGTGACATATTCTCATTAAACGACCTGTACAAGTTCTGAACCTTCGGCGTCGTTCTTATAGACGAAAGTCAGAAAGTGTTTTCTGGCGTGTGAATCCAGGACAATGAGCCTGGCTCCAGAGAAAACAGATGACAAACCAGTCTGAACATGTCTGAGTGTGAGACCTGGCTCAGTATATTGCAGGAAACAATGTGACAACTCTCTTTGTCTGTCCTTCTGTTTGACGGTCTGGACCATCAGAGACCAGCCGCAGACTCATCAGGATGTTTATTACATTTACTTTAAACAGAATTAATGAGGGCAGTTAGAAAGAGTTTATTAGTGCTAATGGTTATCAGTGTAATTGCTAAATCTATTTGTCTAAAGCATGAACTGAAAGATTACACGTTACCGTGAACTTAAAGTTGTGCACGCTACAGGTTATTTCAATAAGCACGGTCACTGTTTCACAATCATTGATAAACCTACTGCCCCTTTAATGTACCCTCGGTTGGACTGACATTTGTGTTCACTACATGACAGTGACTATGACATCACTGCGAGTCATCGCTGGATGAGTCAACTAGTGGTACCACTGTGATGTGGATTTTAGCCCTCAATGGTCTTAAGACATGGTTCGCAAGTCATGGTTCCCAACAGTTTTTGGGCTTTTCAGCAGCTTTTGATTTTACAAATAATAATACTGCACCTCAAATCATTGGATTGTCTTTAATTAAATCGCTGATTTATCTTCTTTTTACTAGATATACTAGATATTCTTATGTTAAAAAGAATAAAAAGACCAATTCTGATTCTGAGTCTCTCAAAAACTATTAAAATGAACTAATTAAAATGTAGGCACAAATAAATACAATTATTTTAATATGATTTATTTAAAAGACCTCTTACTGTAAATGCCTTTGCAGACTACCACGGGTCGACGTTCCAAAAGTTGGGGGAAAAATAGGTCCTAAGTTCAGGTATGCACTTATCCACTTTACTGAAAAATAAAGAAGCACTGGCCTCATCCAGAAACAATGGTTAAGAATTATTATTATTATGCAATACCAATTTGCCCAAAAGGGAAAGTGGAACAAAAATCAATTGTGGACAGTTTTGACCAAATGCTTACTAATGATTAGTATTGACCTGTAGACTGGATTGACTGCATTAGGTACTGGTTATTACCACCTTTACTATTTACTTTACTTTACTATAGAGCTAAATCAGTATTATATTGGTGTTTGTTCTCACTTTCCTTTGGCTAATACTGCCATGTGTAATTACTGTATAGACATCTGACATCTGAGGAAATAAAACATCAGCTGTTTGAAACTGTTTACTGTGGAGATAATAAAAACAGACTAAGTATAAAGGAAGATTCAGTCCACACAGAATCAAAGAGTAAAAATAAAGCCTGGTGTTGACTGATAACCACTGCTGCATCACTGAGACACAGAAGAACATTTTGTATTGTGAATTTCAATGAGAAAGTACCCCCGTGTTTACGCCTCAGAGGAACAATAATGGATGAACACTGACTGCTGTAAATAATTCACATGTTAACATGATCCATGTGAAAACACTGGGCTGGACTGAGGCAACATGTTGTTTCACACGAGGAAACGTGTTGCACAAAAAATGATGATGAAATGACACTGTTTGACACAGCTAAAATTATGTGGAAACCAACGTACCACTGGGGCAGGACTTCAATGCAGCCTATCTAATTAATAGCCAACAGTCAACTAATTACAGATAAGGACAGATGAAGGTCGGTCACGGAGAAGACTTGTCATCTCTTCCTGCAGACGTCTGACTCTAACACTTAAGGCTTGCTTTTGCACAAAGTCGAACTCTGTCTAAGTCTGGGGATGTATCTTGAAACCAGTTCCCCACATTCTTCAGGTGCACTGAACACAGGCTGCCTGCTGAGTTGGGCCATAAACCAAGCGCTCCCTGCCCCGGGTTGAGGAGAACATGTTTCAAAACAACAAAACAGCTGCATGATTCAGAACATCTGGCTCCACCCACCACCTTGGCTTTTGGGCATCACAAATGAAGCGCTCCCATGAACCTAAGACTACAGCTGTCAACTCCTTGGAGTAAACACACACAAACACACACAGGCATGCATGTAGTTAGAAAGTTGCGCAACGCATCTTAAGAAAAACTATCTAATCCATGAAGGACCTTGTGATGAACTTTAACATGAACAGTTACATCACTTCAATAAAAACAAAGGTAAACTTTAGCTTTTTTTTTAAGCAGGATTTTATGACTGACCGCTGACTGCACTTTTATGAGACAGACATTTCCAACAGGAAATTAAGGTTGGAAAGAGCTCACTCTCCCACACCAAGGTCCATAAAGAAAAGCATTTGTAGCTCAGTGGAACACAGAAGCTGTTGGTCTCCACCTCTGCTCAGTTTGTGTTAATGAGGTAAATGTCTCATTACAACTAAATGATGAAGGCAGCCAAAGACACACTCCTGTGTGTCCTGATAAAAATGATGGATTTTGACTATAGATCATGAGATGTGTTAAAGAATAGACACATTACCAACATTTTGACACATGAACATCCTATCAATGGACTGATTATGAATTCTGGACAACAGATTATCTTCAGGACATTTGGTTTGTTATGAAACATGGTGATATACCTTGTTTGTTTATCTCTGCTCAAATCTCTCAACTTTTGCCATTGTTGAGACTGTTAAGCCATGTTGTGTTTATCCAAAATGAGACAGGCGGAAGAGTACTGATCAATTATTCAATCCATCTTATTGTTCATGTTGCATTGCACTTGGAACATTGTTTTGTGCATGTTTAAATGCACTAGTGTGTAATGCACAACAGGAAATGTATATATAATATGAGAATTCTGCTGTTCTAAAATCAGAGAAGAACAATTCTTCTTCTTCTGTTTCTCAGCACCAATTAAATGCTTTCTGGCCTCCACCAGAGTTTTTCCATAAACAGCGTCCTGGCTCAGGTAACAATGCCGGGAAGTGAGGTCTATATACTACACACACATATAGCATCAAAGTCTGGACAGCCTTCACACCAGATCCTTTAAGTGGTATGTGGAGAGTTAGAGAGAAATCAACTCCTCCATCAATCCCTCTCCTCAAGTCAGGAATAGGATGCATCCTCAATCACGTGCACCTTTTATCACTTTAGGGCCACAGTATCCCTCAACACCAGCAACAAGAGGAAGATCACACGATCCTTCAGCTGTGCATTAGAGTCATTCGACCCAGAGTATCACAAACCAAGTGCATCCCTGGTCACTTCTCCACAGCATCACAATCAAATCAATTTGGTTCTCCCTCTTCCTGTCCATCTAACACCTGTCTACACAGCTGCCATGCCCCCCTCACCAGATTAAGTGCCCCCTCATCACATTGTGCACAACTAGTGCGCGATTCAATCAATGTTTCCAGTCTCACACACACGCACGCACGCACGCACGCACGCTTTTCTGCGAGACTCCGTCCATCCCTTTGGTTTTGTAGGACTGAGATGCAGGACATATCAAGCGCCCCTTCTGATTACCTCAGTTCATTCACATCATCATCTACAGCAGCAGCGACATCGACAATGTTGTTCTTCTCTGCAACAGAGTGAAGAGCTGCACCAAAACCACACCGACCTCCCAACTGCACCCCTACCCTCACCCTCACCCTGTGGTCAGCAGGGCGGCCAGTGCACGGTGAAACAAGCGCTCCCTTTCAGCTCCTCAAAACATCAACATCATTATCAGCATCATCATGTTTGTGGATTTTATCCCAACACACACACACACACGTGCACGCACACACACACTAACAGTGTTAACAGACTGAGCCGCTGCAGCAACAAGCCATACACAACAAACGCACGGACACACACCGTGACAAGGCAGGGGGGCGGTGCTGGCGGTCAGCGGAAGACTCACCTCTGGAGCTGCTGAAGGCGGTGTACCAAGACACTGAGATCAAGCCGAACAACAGCAGCGTCAGGAAGGAGACATTTCTGAGCCTCATCTCCGGAGCATGTCCGCAACAGAGAGAGACGGAGATGCAGAGAAGGAGAGAGGCAAAGAGAGGTGGGGGATAAGGAGAGAGGAGCAGGGGAGGAGGGGGACACCAGAAGAAAAGAGCGAGTGAGAGGGAGACTCAGGTAGAGCGAGAAAGACGAAGAGGCAGGAGGTGCTGTTGGCGTCTGAGCAGCAGCGGCAGACTAGGGAGAGAGAGGGGGAGAGAGAGGAGTTAAGAGAGAGAGTGAGGGCGAGCGAGTGTGTGAGGAAGGGAAACAGAGAAAGAGGAGGGGGCAGACACAGGTAGAGACTCTCGGGTAAAGGTGCAGGACGTTATTATTATTATTATTATTATTTATTTATTTATTTATTTTTTCTATTATTATTGTCTGTGCCATGGAGACACAATTGTCCCTCATAAATAAAAGCACGTATTTAAAGAATACATTTCTTTCAAACGATTACAACTCAAATGTGATTCATCACAAGGTACCTGTGGATAAATACCAATTAATCATTAATCAGGATACATCAACATCCCTTACTATGACAAAAATGTTTATCTTATAATTGTTTATCGTATATTGCTGAAACAGCAGGAAACACGAATCAAGAAATGTTTGAATAACAATAAATCAAACACATGTGTGTTTAGCCCCCTAAAAATAACACTTCTAAATCTATACTAAATCTAAACTGGTCAAAGACTTAAATTTAAAGTTTTCAGGCAAAATTACACAAAAACATTGAACTCTTACATACATGTTTCTTTCAATTCCACTTTCTAGTCATGTTGGAGCAGGGGAAACTTCTACAGAGGTGAATTACCTGCAAATGACTTGATCTGGAAAACAGGTTGTTGTGACCGTCCTTCTTATTGTCCTCTTCATGATGTGCCAAACACTTTTACTGTACTAGGAGGACGATGTGGACTGCATCTAGGACAGACACACAGTCAGTCAGTCAATCACACTTTATATCTTCCAAAGCAACAGTTTGTCATTTATTCTGAACTGGGCATCAGATTATGACAAATCCACAGCTACTAATTCATCCTCATCTGGACCCAATTAATTTAACTTTTTTTTTTAAACACAACACCAAAACATGAAGTCAAGGCATTTTTCATATTGAGGAATTATAAATAATAATAAAAAAATCAAAATAACTAAAAATTTTTTGTTGGATTTTTTTTGGTTTATCTGAAATAAATTCTATTTTATATTGTGAATATATGTAATATACTGTATCTAATACTATTGGCTTGGTCCATTGCTCGATAACTTGGCCAAAGTTAAAAAAAAGTTGAATTAATGTTAAAAATTAAAATAAAATTGAACATTTCTTCTGCATGCAAATTACACAATGTAAGCCAAAAACGCCACTTTTTTTTTTTTTAAATATCTGTGATTAAAGTATGGATTGCTCCGCGTAAACGGACTAATGTACTGCTGTTTTGGTGCTTGGTCCAGTGGGCTATGGTGTCCCCTGGTGTACAAAACCAAACTGCAGGCTCCTTTTCAGCAGAATATTATATTTTAAACTATTGTTGGTAAAAGTAAGAAGCGTAAAAAATTACATATTAGTCTTTAAAATGTTAAAGAAATGGTTTATCTAACGGAAAGAATAAGTAAAATAGCAGATACACACACACAATTACAGATCAGTGTGTACAAAGAAGCAGTGTTAGTGAAACTTCCATATCCTAACTGCTCTGCCGGCTCCCCATTAAATAAATAAATGGCTTGTACTTATTGTTGCGAGTGCAGTCTACTAAATAATTGGACTGCAACTGGAGCCATTAACCAGTATTTACAACAGAGGAGCAATAACAAGAGGAATGCAGAATGTCTCACACGCTGCACACACACACCAGAAACAGCCACTTACCCCCAGGCCACAGATAGAGATCACTCACTAAGAGCCAGGCCAGGCTTTGTACCAACATCAAAGCCATTAATCATCAACAAAGTCTAACAAAATATATATATATAAAACCCCCCAAAACAAACACTTTGTAAAGGATTTCTTGCTATTTGCCTTTTTTAAATCTGCATTTAATAGAATTTATGCATTATTCTCACTGATGACTCTGTTCTCATCATATGATGATATGACATACTGATATTAAATTAAATTCTAAAAGATATTATTTTAATTTAATCTAATAGAAACACATTAGGCTGACGATCCTAGGATGTAGAGTAGTTGAATTGTGCGGGTAAATATGGTTATTATATTACACTTTTATTATACATTTTATTCATATTATTCTATTACACATATTACTACTTTATGTAAATCAAATGCTTCTCTATGAAGATAGAGCGAGGACAACACATTAGAAAGGCTTGTTTTGAGAGGACTGTTTTTCTTTCTTTGCTGAAAAATCATATTTATTGGAGCCATTTACCATCCTCAAGAAACGCCATAAAACTTTGCACAACATCTCTCCAAAGGATCTTATAATGTTAGCGCTGGAAAACCTACAAAAGGCAATTGGAGCCAAACACTAAAACCACAAGAATTTGGCTGTTTCTAATTATTTTTTTTATGTTGCTCATGGCCACTTTATTTCCAATATCCCGGGGGACACATTGGCCTTCGATCAATACAGCCTTGAAACCTGTGTCAGTAGGATGAACATTTCTCGTAGTAAATTTGACGACTAAATCTGAATATTTTATCTTCTCCAGGAGCATTTATCACACAAATACATCAGGATAGAGTGATATTCATCTATGTTCATAAAAAAGTTCATAAAAAAGTTTAGTGCCAAAAAATACATTGATAAGAATCCAGATTTATCAATCACTTAGATCATAGTTTTTAAATCTAATTCATTTTTTAAAATAATTCAAATATATAGCATAGCAGCTGTAAAAATTAGCTAAGAAGAAGTGCTGCCATTTTGTAAACATATTTTTGCCTGTTATGATGGTCACAATTTGCAAAAAAAAAAAAGTTTTATTAATTAAGCAAAATTAAGATCAGAGTCAAGGTGTTGAGTTGATGCAGGATTTGAAATAATAGTTCCAGCAGGTCAGTGACGGCTGCAAAGTGTCATAAAGAGATTTAGAGTCACTGAAAAGCCATGGGAAAATGGATCAAAAGCCAAAGAACCTTTTGTGAATTCTGACATAATCTTTTCAACAGTTTAAGCCTGGACTTCAGCAAAGATCTGGGTCAGCAGCTGGGATTTGTATCAGAATGAAGCAGCGTGAGTCACTTCTCTGGACAGTCATAACATCAATAATAAAACGCTTAACTGTACAGCAATTCTCTATTTTTACCACGAGGTGGAGACATCACATCAATTTTCACCTAGGAGAGCCGTGCACTCAACGTGTCTGCACAGCCTCTCAGATAAATACACGAGGATTTATACACGCCTCTCAGATAAATACACGAGGATTTATCTTCTAAATTTTCGTTACATTAATGCTACTGGAGCGTTGATTGTTTAAGTTTTAGGCATACGACATATTTACATTTGGGAACATGAAATCCCAAAACGGCACTTAAACTGTTAAGCAACGGCAAATCAACAATGGCAAATACTTGTTTAAATTTTTAAAATGTGCATTAAATGGTGATAAACTCTCCACGTGCATCTGACCACACTGGCTGCAACTGGTTTAATCTTTGTAATAAATAGATAAATAGACAGATCCCTCGACAGTGCCTTCCAATCAATGATGACTTCTGTTCAGCTGCAGCCAATCTAGTGCAGCCCCATACTTTGCACAGACTGCTGACACAAATATTTATATTCATGAGTTAATCTCAGACACACACAGTGTGCAGGCAGCATAACCTGAGTCTTTAAGCTCAGAGATTGAACCTCCAACTCGTGCACAAGTGAAGGCTGTGATGGAGGTTAAAGGTGACTGACAGACTGAGAGCTGTGGCCTCAGGCTCTGTGAAGAGATCTGTCTGAGTGACAAGTTAGTCAAAGTCTGACACATGAGATGGACACGTGTGAGTCAGGGCACATGAACATGATAAGAATGTGAAAATAAATAGAAAAAAAAAGAAATGTAATCTGTGTGGAAATAAATTGGGCAGCTAACTTATAAATGAAAGATAAATGCTTTAAAGAAATGCTAGGGTTCTAGGATAATAGGCTTCAAATAAGCCTTCTGTGAGTGCCATTATCAGAATCAACCACTTTAACTAAATCAAAGTCGTCCTCTCGGTTGTCATCCAGAGTTTAATCCCAGGTTTGTGGCAGTCTGAAAGCAGCCCGGCTGTCAGAGTCTGACAGCAGATCATTCTCCTGCTTCTACCCTCATATTCCAGATTATATTCTTTCAGACAAGAGCGCTTTCAGTTTGAAATTCTCACACTAAACATGCTATAATCAACCCTCACATCTAGGTTACACAAGAACAAGTACAGGAGCTGCTATCTGGCCCACTCAGGCAGGAACACAGGGTTCTAGTTCTACTCTCATGTGGGCCACTTTCTCACCCGCATGACCAGGGTTGTGTAAATATGATAAGTGCCATATGTAGAATGCTGGGAGTCAAGCACGACATGCAGGAACCAGAGGAAATAAAGTCATTGAAATGATAATTGGTCTATTTAATAAATACAGCAGAGACCAGTGCCAAGGATGTAACATTTCCCACAGTGCCGACTCTCACTTCACGCAGTTTATTACTTCAGGTCTAACCTTCATTCCCATTGGACGTCATCAAAATCTATTGAAATAACAGAAGAAACAAAGAATACATTGTTATTTTCTGTGTCCTTGCAAAAGTTTGACTTTAAACGAGTTATTACTTTGGGAGCTGTTGTATTGTATCAGGGTCACTTGGCATTGTGTGAAATATTTGACAACTCAAGGAGAGAGAGAGAAAGAGAGAGAGCGAGAGAGCGAGAAGAGCAGGAGTGACAGTGAAAACCCTATGATTGAAACCATGAACTTTTTTTTAAATGGATCTGTTCGTGATTCATACACAAATTATTACACATTTCTGCTGATGTTGTGCTTACATTGTCTTACATTTAAGTTCTCAACAGGGGTCAGTGGAGATACTGCGTAGGGCTCGAGAAAGTTTTGGACATTCCAACATAAGCGATTAAAAAACACATTTACACATTTATAACGTCTTCTTAAAACTATTTGGCGAAGACAGCATCGCGTAGCCATAATTTGAATTGTGCTATATTTGCTTTCTTTTTAATTTGTGTAGATTTTTTGGGAACCTTTTGACCTTCATTTTGGCTCCCAGGTGTAAGTCAGACTCTTCTGATGTTTTTCTGTCCTAGATGATGATGTCACCACTGTGTTAGTGTAGGTGAGTGACAGACGTACTGATATACAATATGTGAGTTCTGACTTATCCAGTTAATCAAGTTATGTCCAAGATCCCCTGTATTTATATTTTATTGCCTCCCAAATACTTTTCACAAGCAAAACATATTGTGGCATTTGATGAATGGAGAAATATATTAGGTTTGAAATGTCATTGGATCAAGGATCCAAGGATTTTAGCATTAGGACCAGTTGCAATACTGTAATATACAACATATTTATGAGCAGTGGTAGTTAAGGAAGTGGACTTGGGTCCAGAAGGTTTCAGGTTCGAGTCCACCACTGAGGTGCTCTGAGCATGGCACCGTCCCCACACACTGCTCCCTGGGCTCTTAAACTGCCCCCTGCTGACTTTGTTGATGGGTTAAAACCAGTGGTCACATTTGGTTGTGTGCAGCTGTGTCACAATGACAATAGTTCACTTTCCTTTCTTTCCAGTTGTAGTTGGAGGTCGCTGCTCCATGTCTCCATCATTTAGAGGCTCTCTCTGGCCTTAAAAGCACAGAAGCCCCCAGCACAGTACTCTTTTGATCCAAACCTTCATTTCTTTGAAGCCAAGACATCACAAATCACTCACCCCCCTTTTTTTATAAACACTGAAATGGTGCGACACTCTATTATTACCCGAACAGAACATAGCCACGTAACAAGGTACAGATGCAGAGAAATGTACACACTGCTCACATCTGCTGCCTCTGTTTGAAGCACTGGCTCTGCAGTGCTCAATATGACATGCTCAATATATTGTACACAAAGTGCAGTACACAC